GGCCAGATCTAACCCGTGGCTTCGGCAGCATTAGGCAGCAGGGAGTTCTGGCTGCACTTCACTGCAGTCAGCTTCCTGGGTTGACAGTGGGGAGTTCACTCTGTGCCACATGGCGCAGCACTCAGGCAACCCAGAAGCTGCCCAGGTGTGCTGCCATAATCCTGCAGAAAGGATAAGCAAGAGATGCACCTGGGTCCTAGTGCCTGTCCATTCTTACTTGAGCTGGGTCATTCCAAACATGGTGTGGACCCCTTTGTTAAAGGATGTTTAGCTTGAAGAACAGGAAACTGAGGAGGAACATGATGACAGTTTTTGGATCTTTGAAATACTGTCAAAAGGATGTGGAGACCAACTCTTTTTTGCTGCAGAGGACAGGACATGGAGCAGTCTTTTAAATGGCAGCACAGTAGATTTAGAATAGATCTCAGGAGAAACTTCCTTAACACTAGAACACTATGGCAGCAGAATAGACAGTGCAGGGAAGAAGTAGAATCTTCTTCATTGGAGGTTTTCAAGTGGATGCTGGAGGAATAGTTGATAGGGATAGTTTAGGAATATAGCATTCCTGCATTTTTGTTGGGGGTTTGGATCAGAGGACTTTTAAGGTTCCTTCCAACCCAGTGCTTCCATGAGGGAATGGTTTCCATAAACAAGTCCTTCATTGGGAATGAATTTTCTTTTTCTAGTCCCTCAGTTTGCAGCTGTACACTGGTAGTCAGGCACTGCAAGTTGATTTAAGTACACTCGATATAGGGCTTTTGCAAATAATTTTCATTGTGTCCATGTAGCTTACAGAGTTCAAGCAGGCATCTTTATTCTGCTCTCTTTGAATTGTTTTCAGTAAGCACATACACTTATTGCAGTAGTTGATTTTATCAACGTATGAACTTACAACACAATGGTTCCTGAAAACCGCATCTTAAGTCGAAACATAACTCAGAACTGATTTTCCCATAGGAAACAATGTTATAAATGGGGGATTGGTTCCTGAACCAAGGCCCAATACCCTATTTCACCAAAAAATAACCCAGAATTTTGTACTCAGTCAATTATAGATGAGTAACATCGCTACGTTAATGTATTTATATTCTAAATAGCAATCATATTGATTTGGAAGGACTTATTTGAGGTGACTTTGCTGGACTTTTTGAAGGGCTCTTGGTTGGACTTTTTGAAGGGCTCTCAGCTGGACTCTTCTCAGAAGTCTTGGCTGCAGGTTTTTCTGGAGTCTTGTCTGCGTTCTTAAAGAAAGTGATCAAGGAAGTTTGGACAGATGTTCTCTGGGGAGATGGGTGACACAGCAAACTTGTTCACTGGTGTGGCATTGCATCGGATCAAGCTTTGTAAAGTCAAAACTGACATCAGAAAGTTGAAATAGGGTGTCAATTTATAAACGTTGTAAGTGTGAAACGTTGTAACTCAAAACGTTTTAAGTCGAGGACTGCCTGCAATGGAAGAGGCACCCTTGCCATTCTCAGAGTCCTTTCCATTGTCAAGCCTGCTTTTTTTTTTATTCTCCCAGAGAGGGGAACTGCTCCCTAGGTAGCAGTGTCCCATCATCTTCCCAATACAGGCCTCCTGCTGCGTACATCCCATGTATGGTTGACGGGGAGGAAAGAAAGAATAAGGCTCCCTCTACATGTGTAGGTAATGGCGCAATTGGATCTAATGTGTGATCCACACAATCATGCCTCCTGCCATGCATGTAGGGGGAGACCGGTCTTGGGCTCCCTGTGTATTGGCAAGAAGCAGGCACCCATGGCTGAGAGATCCCTTTCCTGAGGGGACTCCCATCTGGGGGGGAATTTGGGGGGAGAGGGGCAGTGGTCACACACACCTGGGATCCAGAGACCCCACAGCTGACAGGTCTCTGGGTCTGGGCTGCACTTCATGGGCAGCTGGAACCCAGAATTCCCCAACTGACAGGGCTCTGTGTCCTGGCTGCTGGTGAGGTGCAGCCCAGACCCAGAACCCTGTCCGTCGTGGGGTCTCTGGATCCTGGCTGTCTGTGAGGCACAGCTGGGACCCAGAGCCCTGTCAGCTGCAAGACTCTGGGTCGTAGCCACCCAGGAGGTGCATCCAGGACCAGGAGCCGTGTGTGGGCCCAGGGGTTTCATGCACCCCTGAGCCTTGCGGATCATGGCAGCCACAGTCCCCAGGGCTTGTGGGGATTGCATCCCTGTGGCTGGGAGTCCTGTTAGCCGATGGGCTCCCAACTGCAGTGGAGGCCCTGGTACATGTACAAAGTAAAGCTCAATAGCTTTCCTTTCCTTTTGCATGTCCTTGTGACCAGGTATTTAATGCAATTCAGAGATTTGCTGAATCTGACAGGCCATGCTGTGAGCGCTTCAATCAGCTATAAAGTTAGTACACATTTTCAGGCTTTAACTTTATAGCTGGTTGAAGCTTTTTATCCTGTGATAACTAGTTTGTATGTGTAGCTCATCTCAAGATAATTATGCAATTAACCAGTTAATGCACAATACCTGCAACATGTAGAGGGGTCTTTAGAGATTAGCCTGTACCAGGAAGCAAAATCTCCTTTCTCGATCATCATGGACAGTACTACCTTTGCTTGTAACTTTTGATTCAAAGTTCTTTCTAATGTCTGATGTCTAGGCTGTATCTAAATCTTTCAGGTTATTTTGATTCAGACATTACTTATCCACACTGATAAAATCTATCCACAAAGGTAATATCTCCTCCATTTTTTCATCATCTTGTGTCTCAGTCACTCAACATCCTTTTCCCTGGTCTTGACAAATGTAATGTTGCCCTCCTCTCATCCATCCAGAATGCTGCTGCAAAGATAATTTCCTCACCTATTGCTTTGAGTCTGTCTCCATTTTCTTTAAATTCCTCTATGGGCTCTCCTTCACTATTAAACATAAGCTGCTTGTCTTCACTATCACTTAATGACCGTTTCTCAACCTTCTTACCATCTTGGCACTGACATGTGAATTCCTGTCTCCATTCAGACTGACTAGGTTGCAGTACTGCAAAAGGATGAGAGGTTATAATGGACCTAAAACTGAATATGATTCAGCATGATTATAAACTGTGTGCTCTTTTTTACTAAACAAGCCAATAGCATACTAGACTCTACTTAATAGGAGTATTGCTTGCGAGTCAAGACTGTTAGACCCCAACTCCATGCGGTGCCCAACGACCAGGGAGACGACGATCCAATTGCTCATGCATCCTGTTACTCATTAGCCAGAGCAAGCAGGGAGCAAATGCTACTTGCACACGTTGCAACATCTTTATTCAGAATGGACTCCGTTTCCGAGCAGCCCCTGCCTGCGTCACTGCAGCTGATTTACATGGGGACCCCAGGAGTGGCGGTGCTGTGACAATGGGGAGCCTGGGTTTCCATGGAGACTGGCCCACAGGGCATGCAGCTAGGTGGGGAGCTGCTCCAGGTCTGGGATCTTGCGGTGGTGACAGCGGTCAGGACAGCGAGCCAGGTAGAGCTACGATCTGCTGCCTGGGCACCTAAGGCAGGGGTGCGGTGTGGCTTGCAGGCAGCAGATTGCGGCTCTGCCCTGGCTCCCAACCATGCTGTCACCACTGCAAGATCCCAACCCTGGCGGCAGAGTAGCAGCCTGTCCAGCTGTGCACCCTGCCAGCACTATTCAGGCCTCCATGGAAATCCCCTCCCCACATTGTCAGGATGCTGCTGCTACTGGGGTCTCCATGGAAACCGGCTGCAGCGACACAGGCAGGAGCTGCTGGGAAATGGAGTTCGGCCACTGGCCGAATCCACCATTTGGTCCACCCCTGGGCTAGAAGCAGTGCAGGTTTACACTGAAAATCTGCCTTCCACTTGTTTGTGTTGGAGGTAGTGGTTTTAAGCCCAACCTATATAGCTCCTGTAAGTTCCAACTGGAGCTTGGGGTGGGGGCAGAGACTGCCATGGGCAAGAGAATGAACTTCTTTTCTGTGACCTATATAATTTGGCAAGGACAGTTACCAAACTAGTGGTTTGTTTTTGCTGCTGTTCTAGTTTGTTTGAAATATATATGTTAAATTTTGGAAAGCAGATGCAGAGAGTAGTGCAGAATTCCATTCTAGGAAGCCCAGTTGCAGTCTGCTTCCTGGGGATGTCTACCTGTTGTTAATCAGGAATGTGGACTGGAAGGAACCTCCTAGTCTACTGAGTCCAGCCCCCTACTTTTACAAGAAGCCATTTAGCCAACGGTTCCTACATTAAGACCTGGTGGGACTCTCCTCTGGTTGTAGGGTAGGGTGGATTAAGATCCAACACTTCTCTGGAGTTGGTTGGTCCCTGGAAACCTTTAGTAGTCCTATGCTTTTCATCTTGTAGGTCGAGTGGGCATCCTGGAACTTTTATTTCTGGACTCCTAATTTTTTTTTAAGTTCATTTGACTCTCTTGTTTTAAGTACTTGGTGTACAGGGACTTCTTACAGTGTAGAACTGTATGTGAAGGTAATTTATGGACATGGTCCAGTGCCCTAATTCTAGCAAAGAATGTTACTTCCAGATTTATCAACTGAGATTAAGTCAGACCAGCCAGTAGCAGAGATGGCACCTTTTGGTAGTCTCTTGGTTTCTGGGAATTTTGTATGCACTCTTACCCTGGGTCCTGGGCCTGTGGTAAATTGTGGCCCTTGTCCTTTGACAATCTTGTCAGAAAGCCCAGAAATTGAATGAATAGGCACAGACAAAATTACTCTTCAAGTAACAGATGTGAGGCATGCTGCCATGGTTCACATAGTATGGATAGAGGAGGATTTCAGTCTTTTTTTACTGGATCTTAAGGAAAACATGGATGTTCTCATATTTGGAGAGGTTGCACTATATTTCTGGTGCTTGCAGCCTTCCTAGCTTTTTGTTCCTTTTTTTTGTGGTGATAGCTTTTCTTCATACAGAACTTCACAATCCTTTTTTTGCTTCATCAGTTACTTGGTGGTTTTCATTTTGTTTTTTTGTGCAAGGAATACAGCAGTCTGACTCAAATTTGTTTTAATGATTTCAGAATTCTCAGCGTCTCCCAGATAAATACCGAGCTCACACACTTTTTGGTTGTGGGAAGCACTGGCCAGAGAATTGGTGGAAGGCATTGGGACGAGAGCTTATTAATGAGGGATTCCTTAAAGAAGTTTCTGGTCGAAACAAATTTGCAACCATGTGTATGCTTACTCAGAAGGTAATTCTCATTGTAAAATCTTCAGGCCAGAGGTTTCTTTTAACAATCAAAACTTCTTAAAAATGTTGTGTTTCTTTCACAGGGTAGAAACTGGCTACATAAAACTAAAACTGGATTGCATCAAAGCCTTCTGCTACAGCCTAGTGAAGAACTATATCTTAAGAAACTTCATTTCCCAAGGTAACTACAGGTGTATATACAGTAAAATCTCTGTTATCCAGCATCCCTGGGGTAAGGGGATTGCTGGTTATGTAAAATTTCCAGTTATCTAAAAACTGCCGACAGCAGTTGTAATTCCTTGGCTTGCCTCTGAGAATGACCTGAGAGACAGTGTCAAAGGCCTTGCCAAAACTGAGGTATATCACATCTATTGTTCCTCCTCCTTCAATGCATAGAGCCTGTCACCTTGTCACCAAAGCAGATCAGGAGCTCAGGATAAGTTCACTTTGACTGTTCCTGATTATCTGTTCTTCTCCCCATGCTTATATGTGGATGCCTTGATCTGTTCTATGAACTTTCCAACTATTGAGACCAGACTGATTGGTTTTTTTTTCTTTCCTTGAAAGGCACTATATTTGCCCTTTTCCAATCAGCCCAAGACCTCCATGAATTTTCAAAGATAATAGCCAGTGACTCTGTAATTACCAGAGACCCTGGTTTTCCCTGATAAAAAAGAAATCAGAAATTCTCTGATAAAAAAAATCCTAAATCCATGATTAAAATGAAAGGCCCCCCACAGCTCCCCTGGCCCTGTTGGTGCCCCTCACCCCCCATACACAGCTCCTGCTCCCCCAGCCCTGCCAGAGGGGTCCCCGGCTCCCAAAGCTGTGGGGCCAGGGACCCAGGTCCTCAGCCCCCTGCCCCTGGCAGGAGCCGGCAGCTGCTGCAGTGGAGCAGACCCTGACTCCCCACCTGCTGCCTGCCTGCTGCGGACTTAGGCAAGGGGGGGGGGGGCGCAGATCCCCACAGTGGTGTGCACTCCCAGGGCGTAGGGGGATCCATGCCCCCCAGATGTATGCGCAGGGCAGGGGCCACGTGCTGCCCACTGCAGGCTTCTGCCCTGCTACCTCCCCCAGGGCCTCCGCAGCCTGGCATGTGCAACCCAGCGCTGCAAAGAGCAGCGGGCAGGGCTTCACAGGAAAACTACTTACCACTGTGAGATCTGCACTGCCCTGGCGATGTGTCCCCTGCAGGTGTGGCTCCAGTCAGGGTGGCAGCATAGGGTTGCACGTAGGGGACATGTTGCCAGGGCAGTGCGGAGCTTGCAGCAGCAAGCAGCTTTCGTGCATGGCCCTGCTATTCTTTGCAGTGCTAGGTTGTACACACTGTACTGTGAAGGCCCCAGGGGAGGGCAGCAGGGTGGAAGCCCAAGCCTGAAGCAGACAGCATGTGCCCACATTTGCCTCATGCACAGATCTGGGGGCATGGGTCTGCTCCCTAGGAGTGTGCACAGGGGTGGGAAGCAGCACCCCCTGCCTGAGCCCACAGTGGGGAGTCTGCCCTGCCCCTGCCCCACTCAGATCTGGGGGGCATAGGTTCCCCCTGCCCCCTACGCGTGCATGCAGCAGTGGGGAGCTGGCCCCACCCCCTGGACGAGCCATCCATGGCTGCATCCCTCTCCCTGCTGGGGCCCAGCAGTCATACATTGCAGCCCTGGGCCCCATGTCCCAGGCATTGCCTGGCTGGGCAGAACCCCAGCCCCTGTCCTGTCCAACTCCCTCCCTCCCTATGGGGGCCTCAGTTCCCTCCCCATCTCCCCTGATACTTAGCTGTGGGAGCTGGTCTTCAGACTGCCTGGGACCATGTGTAGCACCCCCTGCCTGTTGAGCCAGTTACCTGTCCACCTTGTAGTAGTTTTGCCCAGCCCACGTTTCTCCTATTTATCTGTGAGAAGGTTGTGTGGGATTTTGTCAAAACTGTTGCTGAAGTCCAGATACAGTATATCCACAGCATTCCCTTCATCCACCCAAGTAGTTACTTTCTCAAAGAAGGTGATCACATTTGTTTACTCAATTTGTTTTTCATAAATCCATGCTGGGTGCTTTTGAACAGCCTTTCCTTCTCCAGATGCTTGTAAATGGCCTTCCTTAGGATATGCTTCAGTAGCTTCCCAGGTATTAAGGTGAGGCTAATTTGTCTGTAATTCCCCAGATTCTCCTTTTTTTAAAGTAGGATACTACATTGACCCTTTTCCAGTCCTCTGATACCTGGCCCATTTCCTGCAACTTCATGAAAATCATTGCCACAGGCTCCAAGATCTCCTCTGCCAGTTGCTTCAGGACCCTGAGATGAAATTCATTTGGCTATGCTGACTTGAATTCATTTAGACACGGTTAGACAAGTTATGCACTTATCCAATATGCATAGAAGTGGAGTATACTTGTTATTCCTCTTTTTTTTCCCCCTAAAACAATTGTAATTCCAGATTTAGCAGAAGAAAATACTCTGGAAATGCTAATTTTTAGACATGTATCAATTCTGCTTTTATTTTACATTGACAGCCTACTATTACGAGTGATTTCTTTGTGCTTTGAATAAGATTGAGTCCATTTTCTTACAGTACCAGACAAACGCTATTGGTTTCTGGGGAGCATTCATCAAACATGAAGTTAACGAAGACCCAGGTGACAAAGGTTTGTTACAGAAAAATGTTGTGTGTTATAGACTGGTTCTTTGTTTAGTAATGGACTGAGAGCTCTTTTTGCTTGACTCTAAAGTCTCCAGATATTTAAAGACTTAAGATGCACAGTGAAGCAGCTTACAGGATATATAAATAATTTGTACAATACTTGTCAGGTGTGTGATGAGCAAAATCATTGATGCATTACTGACTGAAGTATTCTGATCATGTAAAATTGTGTTAAAATAAAAGACGTTTTTCTACTTATTCCATCATTGTGGCATAAGAGTCTTATCAGTGCTACCACATGAATTACTGAGGTCTTAAGCCTAATGGCAAATCTTCCATATATGACCTTTTCTCTGAAACAGATGATCCATTGTACTCAGTCCAGTTTCCTGCTGAAAGTTTTGAACTTCCACATTAGTCAGCAGATTTCATCACCAGTCTTTTACTGAGTGTTTTGGTGAAAGTTGCATGATTCATGATTTAAGGCCCCTTTGTAGTCTGGATGTAAAGAGAATAGCCTATTATCTGTGCAGGACCAAGCCATTTAGAATAAAGGTGGCCATTAGGCCCCTGGGCTGGATGAGTAGTGTGGGGCCATTGTACAGGTTGGATGAGCGATGTGGGGCTGGTCCACATGCCAGATCAGGCGCACAAACTTGGCCCTACATGCCAGATACAATATATAGGGCTAGTCCAGCAAAGGTACCGCATGCAGCATGTGCTGCCCCATGTGCAGTGCATGGGTCTGATCCAGTGCATACCATACATATAGGTAGCATATGGCTCCAGCCCAAGACTAATGGGGAGCACCAAATGAGCCAAATGTTAGGGCTCCTCGAGCTGTACGTTTGACACCCTTGCTTCAGAAGGTTCCTATGCTCTTATTTTTGGTCGCAGCTGAAATATTCAAAGTCAGCTGTTTCCTCCCAATGGCTTCTGGCTATATAGGTCTCTCTCATATACTGGAAAGGCATTCTCTCCTTCCACTCTTTAAGTGCATTCCATCAGGACTTGGCATGCAGGGAGAAGTCTAGTAAGGCAAGAGATGAACTGAAATACAGCTAGCAACAGATGCAAAACGAAATAAAAAGCATTCTACAAGTATGTCAGAAGTAAGAGGAAGACTAAGAAAGTATAGGCAATCTAGTTAATGGGTGACGTGGAGAAGGCTGACTTACTTAAGGCCTTTTTTCCTTCATTCTTCACAAATAAAGTCAGCTATTGGATGATGAGTGTGCAGTTGGCAGGATGGATAGGGAAGGAGTAGGAGAAAGACAGGCTAGATCAAGGGTTGGCAACCTTTTTAGGCCATGGGCCAGACTGACCCCATTTGGCTCAGAGGTGGGATGGTGCCAGGTAGGGGGGAGCTAGGGCCCAACAACTGCCACCATTTCTTCCAGTGGCTGAGCAAGGAAAGCATTTGATATTACTGCTTTTCCCCACAGCAGCACAGGGAGAGTACCTGCAACTGACACTCCATCCCTACAAAGGCAGGGAAAAATGCCTGCTGCAAAGCGCTGCCCCCAACTGCAGAGACAAACACCAGCTGCAGACACTCTCCCTGTACCTTTATGGAGAAAAGATGTGATGGCAGGCACTTTTCCTGTGCAGCTGCTGGGGAAAAACTGGCAGCAGCAGCAGCTGGGTCCTAGCACCTACCCTCCTCCAACCGAGGCTGGGTCAATCTAGCTGCTGAAGCCTCATGTCCACAGGCCAGGTCAAGTGACTCCACTGGCCATAGGTTGCCAGCCCCTGAGTTAGATTACCTGGAGAAGCTAGATTTTTTGTTACCAGGATAAATGAGGTTCATTCCTAAGAGTACTCGAGAAATTGACTGAAGCAGTTATAGAGGCACTGATTACTTGTAGAGAGAACTTGTAGAGATTAGGTGAGGTAATGGCTGACTAGAAGAGCACAAATATAGTGACCATCTTTAAGAAGAGTAGGAGGAGGATCCCAGAAAACTTATAGATCAGTCTGTCTGACCTCAACAACTGGAAAATTTCTGGAGTAGGTCATCAGGGAACCTATTTCTAAGCCTCTGAAGGTGCTAGCATGGCCTTTACAAGTACTACTGAAGCTTAAAAAACCCCCAGAAACTCAAGGGCTGTGCCCACATGCAAGTGAGGAGGTGTACAGATATTGCTTCTTGAAGTACTCTAGTTACTGGCAAGTAGGCAATAAACAGTTGTAACAGTTGTGTAGCTATCAAAGAATACTGATATGTTATTTAAGTCTGGTTTGTGCGCCACCCTTCCCAAAGAATCTGCAGTTACAGTGCAGTTGTTACTTCTGCATGGTTTTGCGGTGATGTAAGTATAGCAAAATCCCTTCTAACTTTAACTCTGTTTCTTTCAGGCTCAAAGCTAGGGCAGTTCAGCTAACTTGTATTGTTACAGGATTGTGCAAATAGAACAGCTGATGCATGCTCCTGAGCAACACCTCTCCCTTCCCCCTTTTAAAACAGTTAAAAGTTACACCTGTCCATTTGGTAACTTCTTTTTTCTTTGCATTTCTCAGTTTGTTTTCAACATAAGATACATTTTACTAATAGTGATTTCTGTTTGAATAAAATATTTGCTCACTGGTTCTAGTAACTGCTGTTTATTATAAATTCCACTTATGCTGCAATTGAAGTTAAACTTTAGACCTATTTTCTAGTTAAAATTATTGTATCTACTGCTGTCTCTTTGTATTCATACACAGTTTATGGTAATAGGCTAGAGAGATTGCTGCAGGAAGGAAGATTTTGTCTATTGTGCTGTAGGCTTTGTAATTAGAAACAATTAAGTTCATATGCACTTTTTTCTCTATGTAGGACCCTTCTTTCTTGCAATCAAATTGTTGTGTAAAATATTAAATGATGTTTTACTGTTAGTATTTGTACTGGGGAAACTGGATATCATATCTGATGTTCTGTCCTGGTGTTCTTGTATTTTTAAAACAGTCACAACTGCATGAAATGTTTTCACACAAAGAAGTCAGTAAAATTTCTGCAAGAAGTAGTGACTCAAATAACAGGTAGAGTATCCAGAATTATTTATATTGGTATCTATTTCTTTATTTGTACCTTATTTTATCTATTGTGTAGCTAGTATTTTTAAAGCACCTGTTAGGGGGAGGGAGCAGGAGCCAGGAAGTAAACATGTTTATGGTGTAAAATTATTCTTTCTTGTCAGTCTCTATCTAGATCAGTGTCTCAAAATAAACACTGCAAATTCCAGCCACATTTGGGTTGAATATGCAGTAATCAGGTACCAAACTGTCAATATGAGCTATGTACTCACCTTTAATATTTAAAAAGCCTGTTATACTTTAGTCGATCATTAAAACTCTACAATAAAAGAGCAGATTAATTTCTGTTGCACTTAATTGATGAGTAAATCAAGCAACTTTGCCCTGCATTACATGATAAAATGTCACAAATTACAAGTTAGTTTAGGCTGCGAAGGGGAGTAAAGATAAGAGGCTATCATATATCACTCTTAGACATACGCTACATTATTTTTGTTAAAAGTGACCTTAAGATGCATCTATTTCTGATTAACAGGAATGGGATATTTATTTTTGTATTAAAATAAGATGTAATAAATATCATTTCTTATGCTTTGTTTTTTGAATAACAAAATTCACAAATTCAAACCTATGAAAACCTATTTGTTTTCATATTTACAAATAAATGTATTTATCATTTACTGCTTAAAGCAAAAATACATTTTCACTAGTAGTATTTTAAATTCACACTCAAGGGAAGTTAACAACAAATATTAACTAAAAGCAATATATAATAGCTTTTTTTATTCCAGGTTGCTCTGCTATTGACCTCACTTTTACTTAGGGGCTCTTTTTTGACAACTTAAAATGTGATTCATTTCTTGCTAGGTCAGGATAAAATATAAGAATTGTTTGTACCTGTCACTTCCATAATGTGTTTTTAGGAAAAAGAGAAGCTGTTTACCAGAGTCAGAAGAAATTTGATTGTATATTTCATACAGTGGTTGAGAGGAATATAGGTTGCATTTTTCATTTTTTTTGCCTGTCTGGAGAAGATACAAGTGAAGTGAAATCAGGTTTGCCTTTTATCTCAAAAAGGACACACAAATATTTTTAAAATAATAGGGAATTAGGGCTTGTCTATGCAGGGGAATATGCTACCATAAACCTACGCTTACAGTTATAGTGTTACAGATGTACACGGATAACTCTCCTGTAGGCTTTGCTAGAGTATTGCTCAATATATGCTGCTCACACAAAGTCTTGGCCAGAGCATGGGCCAAGAGTAGGCCTCACTAGGCAAACCTGACTGATGCATGAACTCCTCACGTACACAAAACTTGGCATGTGGGCTAGATGTGCGCTTCTGCCAAAAGGTGGGAATGAGAGATGATGGTACAAGGTAGGCTAGGCCAGTACCGGGATGATAAAGCTGGAATGGAAACACCCAGGTCAAAATATGAAACAAGCCCATGTTACAGGACAGTTTAAGATGTTCAAGATACAGATGAAATGCAAAATACAGAAATGCCAAGGCTGGAACTTTGATTGCAGTGCGCCAATGTCTTGCTGGGACCAAAGCTGGAGGTTCCTGGCTAGAGGGTCTTGCTCCTCCACTTGGGGTCAGACCAATCATGATACTTGAGGGTCAGGAAGGAATTTTACCTCATGAGCATACTGGTACAGACTGTGGGGGTTTTAACCTTTTTCTGTAGTGTGGGGGTGTGGCCCTCTACCTGGGATTGCTTGAACATAAACTGACAACATTTCAGAGACACAGGACATTAGCTGCCATGGTTCCCCTGCTTTACTTGTGGCAGGCTAGGGTACTAGGTCTGGGTTGTGTCAAGGTTGATGGTAGTCGTATGTAGAGTTTAGAATCTGGTTTGTATGGGATGATTTGGACAGGGATGATCCTGCCTCAGGCAGGGGGTTGGACTGGATGACCTCTGGGAGTCCCTTCCAGCCCTACATTTCTATGAATACAATACTGGTCCCAATTGTTTGTATATGGCATACACACAGACATCTTATCTGAAACCTAGTTGTTCTGATCATTGTATAAAAAGAGAATTGGAAAGCAGAGAAACTTTGTAGTGGCCTGGGGGAGCCTGAGTGGTGTTTTGTTGACTATCTTGTCACAGATACAAATGCCTTAGCTCCTGGTCTGATGTGCTTGTTAGGCCAAAATGTGTTAGGGCTGTGCTTATAGACAATAAACCTGGATGAATCTTTGTCACTGAACTAAGCTTGTGGTTGTTCTTTAAGACAAGATTAGCATTGGGATCTCCTGGCTGTGACTTGTTGACACCACAGCTCCTGAGACTTCACACCCTGACAACACATCAGTAACACCTGACAAGGACAACAGCAACAACAACACTGATAACCCCAGATGACATCCCCATGCTAATCCAGTTTTCCGGGCCACAACAGATTGAGGTGGAATTAGACATCCATGCCATAGACAAGACTCTCCTGAAAGAGCATGATTTTTATTAACCTTTTTTTATTTAAATGGTTTTCCCTTTCTATTCAGGACAGCACAATGATATGAGTGGATTTGGGCTTTGAAAGAAAACATATTTATAAAACAGTCTTTCTCTAATGCAAATGTGGTCCTGGTGTAGAAAAGAGGAGATCTGGGAAAGCCTCTGGATGATGGTCTTTCATAAGTATACTGTGTGTGTGCATGCGCGTGTGTTTATAGTGTAAGTATACCTTTCTAGGGGTGCAACAATGGCAATTTTTTTGGGTCAATACCGATGGCCAATTTTTAAAGAGCCATATCGACTGATACTGATCTGATTGCCAATATGTGGCCCAGCAACTTGGAGAACAGGATCCAACTGGTAAGTCTGTTGTGGGGGAATAGGTTGGGGGAGGAAAGGGGCATGGGGGAGGGCAGATCGAGGCCTCTGTGGTGAGGGAGGGAGTGGGGCTGCAGCAGGAGTAGGCACTGCCCAGCCAGGGAAGGGCTTGGGATAGAGCTGTGAGCATCTCATCTGGGACGTGTGTTTGGAGGGGAGGGGCACCTCCCGCTACTGCATGCACCCCAGAAGGACATGGGGGGGCGTGTGCCCCCAGATCTGTGTGTGGGGTGAGGGTGGGTTTCTGCTGCAGGCTGAAGCCAGGGCTCTGCTGGGCTCTACCTGGCAGGGGGGAGTCTGGGCCAGGCTGCTCTCAGGGTGGGCGGTGGTGGCATTGGGAGGGGGGCTGCAGTCACCCCAAAATTTGTCATAGCCCCCCTCCCAGCACCACCACCACCTACCCCAAACGCAGTCCAGCCTGGCTTCTCCGCTGGGAAGATCCTGGTGCGGCCCGGCCTCAGCCCGCAGTGGCAGCTCATCCTCACCCCACACAGATCCAGGGGCACACCCCCCCATGCCCTCCATGGGGTGTGCACAGTGGTGGGAGCCGCCACCCCTCCTGGCACCCCCCCAGGAGAGCCCCACTCCGTCCCTCACCGCTGGGGCCTCAATTTGCCTCCCCTCATGCCTCTTCCCTTCCCTCACAACAGACTTACCAGCCGGACACTGCCAAGCTGTGGTCCCAGCTGCCTGCATGCTGCGCTGCGGCTGTGGCTTTGCTCGTGCGTGGGTGCATTTATCAATGACATTATCAGCCACATCAGCCAAGAAAAGCCGATTGCTAATACTGTCAATTTTCCTGTATATCGGTGCCAATCTGATATGGGACTGATGTATCAGTGCATCTCTAACACCTTTTATAGCATAGTGTATATATTATAATTATTCTATCTTATTCTTATGTATGGAATAAATAATAAATATAATTATATGTATAAGTAGTATGTACTTATACATATATTTGTACTTACATATACATGTACTTACGCGTCTCAGCGTCTTGAAGGCTCAGATCAAGTGTAGTTTGGGTCAGAAAGGTCTGTGCTTGTTCCCATATGTCATCTAGTCTTCCTGACTGCTTGGATTTTATATTACATCCCTGATGTGTAGTGCAGCATGTGGGGGGATCAGGCAAAGAGGAGTACTAACTAGTTTCATCTTCAAGACCTCCCCTGTCAGCAGACAGGGCATGCATCACAGCAGTGGGGGCCAACCATTTTGGCTGGCATGCCACAAATTAGCTGTCCAACGTCCCCAAGTACCATTCTGATCCTCTTCCTCTGTCTCTCCTGCTGCTCTCTTTTTTGCTCCCTGCCTGAACTCCTGACCTGCTTTCTGTCCTCTGCTCCCTGCCTGATGTCTTCCTGTACTTTCTGCCCTACCTGCTGCTGTGCTGTCTGTCCTCTCCCTGTTTGGCCACGTGCCACACAGGCTGTCCATGTCACTTGTGGTACTCATGCATAGGGACCTCCTTAATTTGTGATTTTGCAGATTTCACGGAAACTGAAATCAGGCATTATCAGTGAAATACCAGCCCCCCAACCTTACTAAAAATAAAATGCTGGCTCCCCAGTGGGAGCCAGCAGTCCTCATAGTTGCTGTGACCCAGCTTCACAGGCTGCCAGGGTGTGGGAGGAGCCACTGGTACAAAGGGGAGCAGCCAAGATCAGCCAGTCAGTGGCAAAGGGCGGGAGCACATGATGGACAGCCCTCTTGGCCAATCAGTAGCGAGGAAGGGGCAAGGCCATTGAGTCCCTTCAGCCAATCAGTGGTAAGGGGTGGGGTCACAGCAAAAAAACTGCGAAATTGGTGAATATGCCCTAAGTAGCCCACAAAAATCCCTTTAGCTCGCCATGACTTAGGTAAATTCCTACTCATGCCACAGGTCAGTCACCCCTGCATCATACCATGCCATCATAACAGTTCCAAGGAGACCATCTGACTTATAAAGACACTGAGGTAACAATTCTGGGTAGTGCTGCATTCCAGTGAACCAGGAGAAATGTCCTGCCCAAAATGAATACTTCTGGGAGTATTCACAGAGGTTTAGGGCTGGAAGGGACCTTGTGAGATCATCAGGTCCAGTCCCCCCTGCTCTGGGCAGGAAAGACTGCTGGGGTCAAATAACCCTAGCAAGGTGTGTATCTAGTCTCCTTTTGAAGATCTCCTGGGTAGGTGCCTCTATCACCCCCACTTGGAGTCTATTCCAGAGTTTGGTCACATGAACCATGAAGTTTTTCCTTATATCCAGTCTGAAGCCTTGTTCTAGGAGTTTATGACTTGGTCCTTGTTTTCCCCTGGGGCGCTTTGGTGAATAGTTGTTCACCTAGCCCCTGATGCTCCCCCCTGATATATTTGTAAGTTGCCACCCAATCCCCCCAAAGCCTTCTCTTTTCTAGGCTGAAGAGTCCCATATATGTCAGCCTTTCCTCACAGGCCTTTAATCATACAAGTGGCTCTTCTCTGGACTCTCTCAAGTTTCTCCACATGGTTCCTGAAGTTGTTTCTCCTGCTTTGTGATTTCCAGTACTCATGGGCGCCATACCATTGTGCTGGACTCATATTATTCTTTCAGGGAGCAGATGAGTTTTGTTCAACACAAAGGTTGCTGCCTCCCACATCTTCATGAAGAATGAATGAATACACTGGGCTAATAGGAAAAATTAATAACCTGTTTGTTTTGGGTTTTGTTTTTTTTAATGTAATAGTATTGTGGCACAGTCACCAGATACCCTGGAACCTGCTGTTTCAGCCAAGGAGAAGGAACTGCATGTAAGTAACTAGAGGCTTCAACTGATTTTTTTTCAAGAAATCAATTTAAACTATACATCTAACATACTCCTAGAAACCAGTCCTGTTCCCCTGCAAACAACCAGAGGAAGAGCTGTTAAGATGGCAGACAGTCCACTTAAGACGCAATTAACCTGTTAATTGCATCTTAAATAGTAACTCAGTTGTGCATTCATGCAATTAATGTTGTGACAAAATGGGAAATCAACCACAAAATTATTCCACAAAATGTATGGGATATTTTTGTGGCTGGTTTCCATCACTCTATAAATTGAATTTGTGACATGGTCCCTGCCCTACAGCCTGATGCAAGATGCATGACAGGGCTTGGTTGACACTTCCCCCTTGTCAGCATTCTGGCAGCTATGCATGGAGCTGCATCCTGCTATTTTCAGGGTGTCAAGTCAAGGGGAGCTCACCAGATGGGCCAGAGTGCCAGGTTTTAGGGAGCTTCAGGGCTTGCCACAGCGTAGCAGGTTGACTTCCTTGAGCCAAGAGCAAGGCACTTGAAATGTTCCAGCCACAAAGACTCTGGGACTGGGGAGAAGTTCCCTGATTCTGTGATCCCCGTGCACTGGGACCTTTAAAAACCACATGTGCAGGTTGGCTGCACACATGGTTTTCTGATATTTTCGGTACATGGGCACCCCAGGTTTGAGGAAACTCTCCTGGACCTCAGGGACCTGACATGCTGCGACCTTAAAAATATGCATGCCGCTGCACTGCACATGAAGTTTTTTAGACATTCTGGTGTATGGGGCTCTGGGACTGGTGCAACTGATTGTTGGTCCTGTCCTGGGACTGTACCAGTCTTTAACTTGTTCCAGTGTAATCTCAGGGCTGAGACCAAAAATCCTGTGGCATGGTAGGAGGCACAGCTGTTGGGATCAGTGATCAGATTTCATAGTGCTGTTATAACATCATGTGTTGGGGCATAAATTTTATAACTTTTATGCTTTTACTCTTAAGAAATTGCCTTGAACTGTAATCCTGCTTGGGAGATTATAATGTCCTGAAGTGTTGCCTTTGTACTTTTTTTAAGTGGTTTCTGACTTTCTCTTTTTACTCAGTTGTGATATTTAACCTAAGGTGTTCTTTAAAATAGTTTCAGATGTATTCATAGTCTGCTTTTCTTCTTCACAGACTATTCTCTACAGCAAGCTATTGGCATCCAGACAAAAGTTAGCCAATGAGAAATTCATTCCTCCAGCTGTGCTGGCAACAAATAAAATATTAGTGGACATGGCCAAGATCAGGTAAAGCCTCTGCTTTTCAAAATACACCTAAAGGTATTCTATGACCTCTTTATTAGGTTCTGAATTGGCTGTCACAACTCCGGAAAGAGACCTTGGAGTCATTGTAGACAATTTAAAAAGTTTTAAAGTGACAGCTCAACGTGCAACAGCAACCAAAAAGTCCAATAAAATGTTGAACATTATTAAGAAGGGAATTGAAAACAAGATGGAGAAGATCATCATACCATTATACAAATCCATGGTGTACCTACATCTTGAATACTGTGTGCAATTTTTGTCCCCACATCTCAAAAAAGGCTGTAGTAGAATAAGAAAAAGTATGGGGAATGGCAACGAAGATGATCAGGAACATGGAGCAGTTGCCGTATCAGGAGAGCTAAAGAGGCTAGGATTCTTCAACTTGGAAAGGAGAAGGCTGAGGGGAGATTTGATAGCACTGAGATCTATAAAATCATGAAGGGTGTGGACCAAGTGAACAGAGAACTGTTGTTCATCAAGTCCCAGAATATTGGAACTAGGGGGCCTCCACTGAAATTAACAGGAGACAGTTTTAAATCTAACAAAGGGTACTTTTTACGCAACATATAGTTAACTTACGGAATTCATTGCCACAGGAGGTGGTGGAGGCAGATAGCATAACCAGTTAAAGAAGGGACTGGATAAGTTCATTGATGATGGATCTAATAATGGCTATTGAACATATTGCTTAGAGATGTTTCCTCTGGCATCTCTAAACCAATAATGGTGGATATGAGGGAGGGGATTAATCACTCTAGATATATTTGGTCCAGTGCTTTCCCTCCTATAGCAGGAGTGGGCAAAATTCAGCCCATGGGCCATATCTGGCCCTCCAGCTGATCCTATCTGGTCTGTTGGCCACTGCCAAGAGCCTGAGGAGGGAGGGCTATACCCTGCATCACTCCACAATCTCTCAGCCAGGGCTGGGCCAGGCAGATTACTCTCCACCTGCGCCCCCTCCCCCCCACACTTCCTATTGGTGCTATGCAGTCCTGGCACTGTGGCTGGGAGGCCAGCGTGGGACAGGGTGCAGTGCAGTGCACTGAGTAGCCGTCCCGCCTGCCCACCTGTTGTAATGAGCTGCTGCCACTGTAACTCCACTAGAAGGTGAGTTTATGCCAGCCATGGGCCGGATAGGATCAATTGGCATCTCCCTGTCCCCCACTCCTCCCCCCCTGCCCAGCCCTTAGCAACTCACCAAAACTCCTTAAGTGACCCACTATCCCAAATAATTGCCCACCCCTGCTCTATAGCATCCACCCCTGCCACTGTTGGATACAGGATAATGGGTTAGGTAGACCATTGGTCTGATGCAGTGTGGCATGAAGTTAGTGAAATCTAGCCAAGGCAAAGTATTTAACAAGTGGGAAGAAATATTCATGTGCAGTCATGTGTTACAGCCATTCGCTACTACAGGCAGTTCTCGCACTTATGGCGAGTTACATTCCTGGAAAAGGCACTGTAAGTGGAAACGGTGCAAGTTGAATCTGATTTTCCCATAGAAACAATGTTCTAATAGGGAATTACATTCCTGACCAAGGGCTTGATGCACACCATATTTAAATCAACTATTTAATCAACTATAAATGATATACACTGTACAGTATAAAGCTTTCTAAAGTGTACTGTATATAAATCGATTAAACAGGGCAATACAGTAACTAATCACATAACATTTTATTTAATCAGAAGTTGAAGGAACACCATCAGGGTCATGGAATTCAGAAGGGCTTATTTGGGAACATTTTGGGGAAACTTAGGGCCACTTGATGGCTTTTTGAGAAAGTGATCCAGGGATGTTTGTTTTGCTGCCCTCTTTTTCTCATTGTAAATTTCCCTGTAGTGCCATAAGTGCAAGGATCCAGCACCATAAGTAATAACATGGGTGTAAATGGCAGAGCCCTGCAAGTGCAAATCACCGTAAGTCAAAATGCCATAAGTCAAGGACTGCCTGTACTACAAAACTGAATAGGATTAACAAAACAAGTGTTAAAGGCTAGGTAGTTGCAAATCAATGTATTTGCCAAACCCCCTCCCCCAAAAAACCAATAGCAAAAACGCACAATTCATCCACTAGTTGTTTTATGTTATGTAAAAGAATAATACGACTAAAATAAAGTGTACTGATGACAGATTAATCATCTTTGTTAGTGTTACCTGTGGTTAAAGTGGATGACAGTTTTCTTTCACAGACAGCCCTATATTCAGAAGAGCCTATCAGTTCTCTGCTAATTTTTTGTTTATCCTGAAACAGGCCTACAACTATTGAAAATGTGAAGAGAATTGATGGTGTATCTGAAGCTAAATCTGCCATGTTGGTACCTCTCCTGAATGAAATCAAGGAGTTTTGTCAGGCAAATAATTCGCAGGTAAGACTCAGAGGAACTGCTAAGGTCCGTCCAACCCAACCCATTACTTTCAGATTCCGTCTTTCAGGCTTGTTTATGCTGCCCTATTGTTATTGCACCCAAAGTACACAGGACTGAATTCTTAGCACAGCTTGTGAATAGTCACTTGGAGATGGTAGTCTTGATCAAAAGTCATTTCACTCCAGGATAGTACTTGTTGAGGGAAGAGGTTTGCACTTAAACCTCTCAAGCTTACATTTTTAGGTGCCATAGGTAAAACTAATTCAAAAGTCTGCCTTGTTGAATTATTACACTTAGGCATGAAAAGGCTTTTAACAGAATTACTAAATTAAAATGCACCAGCCAGCAAAGGGTATAAAAGTGTGAGTTATTTTGTGGCCCTTCTGTTTTGTTAAACAGGCTACCCTACACTTGTGCTTTGTAGATGTGAGGGGATGTATGCATGTACAGATTGAATTACAGGCACAGCTTGTGTTGGTTTCCTGCTTGTGTGTAGAGAGCATCACCTGACTGCGAAACCTAACTTGCTTGGACATAAGCTATTCCATTTCCAGTTCTAGAAATCTATTACCTTGGTGACACAATTTGTTAGTTGGCTGTTGCCAGGTTATAACTCCTGTTATATCTCATTTGCCATGCTGTAGACAGATACATTCCCAACCTCTGAATCTAGAGAACAGTGGCAAGCAGCCGTCCAGAAGGGTGTTGGGTGCCGACCCCTCCCTCAGTCGCAACTTATAACGTACAGGCTGTTCCAGGAAAAGAACCTATCTTTGGTAAGTTTCCTATCCCTGGATACCTGAAAATGCTCATATATTTAAAAGAGGCTTTAAAGAGATTGTGTGCAGAAGTTTGGTATGTACTGAGTTGTGAGATTTTGGGGGACCAAACTTGTTAGTGACTGTTTTTCAAACATTCTCTGCAGTGCAAGTAGGTCTTCATGTTAGAGTACCCAAGCCCTACCTTGGCTGTCACTTAGCTGTGTCTGAACTGGCTGGTCAAGCAGTATTGGTAACTGATTTTAATATCAAATTATGTTAAATCAAGGTAGAACATACAGGAGGCCAAAACTGTCTTGAAAAGCTGATTGTACTGAGGCAATCCCATGTGGTTGTGTATGGCACCTTGTGTGCTTGGTGTAGCTTGTCCACCACACTCTTTGAGAAAGCACTGAGCCAGTTCCACAATCAGCTGGATTTTTCTCTTGAGAGCTGCTGGGGCAGATGGGAGCATCCACCTGTTCTGTAGCAGTAGGAATGGATGCAACACATAGCTATATGAAATTTTCTCTCAACCTGTTAATCAGTTTGTCTTGGCTAAATTTTACTAACTTTATTTAAAGTATGAAAAAAATCTCTTTGAATGTGAGGCATCTCCATATAAGGCTTCAGTGGTCTGGAAAAAAGCCCACAGGAACGTTCAATGAGAAACTAAAAACAAAATATTAATGCAGTTTTTTTGCAGAAACTTCCAGAGCTTTGATTGTTGGTGTCTTGAGCTTAGCTCCACAGCTGATCTCTGTCAAGGTGTAAGCTTGGGAGCCGGTGAAAAAACTGTTGCACAGTTTTGGGAATTGTGAGTTTAGAAAGACTTTATTATTCAGTAAGAGCTAAACCTGCCTTGTAGCAAAGACTGGTCCATAGGCTTCAGGACAAAAGGAGTTCTTCAACACAAGATAGCAGATTTTCAAGACCATGCATCATACATGCATCCTCTATTGTGGATGCAAGGGCTGGCAAGTGTATGGTAGGATCCAAGAGTAGTGAGGAGAGGCTGCATTTGGCTGTTCACTTCAGTGGAGAGAAGCAGATCCCCCAGAAGTTTGCTGGGCAGAGGATTATGTGTTTCTAATTGGCATGTAGTATATTACTAGAGCTCACTACTGGCCTGAGAGTTTAGTCCATTCTTTGTAATTGAAATTGAAAAGAAAATATATCCTAACCATGATATGACCTTGATACAAGTTTTAACAATTAACTGTTTATTGTTTTGCACCTGCTGTGTAGGCTGAGAGCCATAATGAACTGTGTTAAGTATGTATGATACCATGTGCCCTTGAAAACGTGTTTCATAATTATTTTTCTTATTCCCATTTTGACTTTCTTGTTTTATTCCTCTTTGATCTGGTGATACAAAGATGAAACTGTTTGACTTGCCCCTCCCAAGAGTGCAGGAGTGAACCTTGTCACATAATCACTAAATTAAAATACCCAAGGACTAATTAACGAGAAGCAATAGTACAATTAGTGTTAGGTAATTTGATGCCTGGTATCAAATAGCCCTGATTATTACATGCATTTTGTATGAATTGTCTGGGGGGAAGTCAATAAAAGAAACATAAAGTTTAATTCTTTTAGGGAAGAAAAATAATTAATTTTAAATCTATTCTTCAAAAAAGTCCTAGTCTAGATAAGCAAGATCTGGGAAGCTTCCCTCCTGTTGTTAATATTTTAAAAGATAGCAAAATAAAGGAGGAAGAATCTGCTTTTGTTAGTACTGTTAGTATTTTGAAAGTACCACCCATGTTGTACAGTGATATTGGGAATCAAACAGTGAGATCAGCAACATGTATACACCTCTTAAAGGTTCTGAGACAGACAGATATAGAGAGACTCTAACAAATAAACCTCATTTATAGATGAGTTGAGCTGAGTTGAGTTGATTCTACAGTTGTAATTACTAGATTACCATAAGATGCTTCTCCCAGGATGGAACCCTTTGGCCCCATATACAGTGAAACCATTGTTTCCTTTGCATGGTACAGATTGCCATATTCTGGGATTTATTTGCCTTTCCAAGCAGTAGATCAAAGAGTAGTGGTTAGTGTTGGCAGTTTCTAAAGGAGAGTAGAGAGGAGTAGGGATTGTGCACAGGCCATGGAGAACTTCCGATTTTAACCCACCTATTCTTTTGTTCTGTGTATCAAGGAGCTCCATGGTCAGTGGGTTATGCAGACTTTTGAACAGGGCAGAATTTTCTTTCTTGGGTGTGTCATTAAGGATAGATTCAGAGTGAGAAATTGTGCACACACTACGCATAAGATTTTATATTCTCAGCTGAAACAGTTTTTTAAAAATTGGATTCAAAGTCTGAAACATCAGAAACATATAGTGCATTGGTAAGTGCTTTGAAGCACTTGTGTCCTGTCCTTTTTCTTGGATACAGGCTTTTGTTCTTTTGTTATCGTTTTGCATACTTTCACCATCTAAGATTTCTTTTCTTATTTTTTCCCGCCCCAGAGGAACATAAGCGAGAGCAGGTCTCTTCCTCTTTCTGTGATCGGCACTCATTTATACCAGGCAATGACATCTAACTATCCTGTTGACTTAGAACGAGCAGGTCTAACTCCTGAAATTCAGAAGGCTGTTTCCAATGTTATCAAAAATCCTCCCATCAACTCAGGTGAGACTTACAGGCCTAGCTTGAAGCTGTTAACAACAGCCATTGAAATATGGATGAAGTGAATGACAAACTTCTGTATCTTGTTACATTCTTAGGCAAGCATTTGGAGAGCATGAAAACCACCAGCGCCACCTTATGGTGTGTGATTATGAGATGGGAATAGGCAGAGGCATGGAAAAGAATGAGAATGGGGTGGAGGGAATTGAGTTTTATGAGGTACAAGGGTATACTCAGAAACATAGAGAACAGGACTGATGAGGAATTACATAGGCCCGAGTGGTGTAATGGCAGGCCTGGGGAAGGAGCAGTTTTCTCATTTCTCCATGAGAGGATATCCTGTTTGTGTCAAAAAAGTGCTTTGCTTTCTTATACGTTATTATCAAGGTGTCCTGACATACTCAAGTCTTTTATGTATCCTCTGATACAGTGTCTAAGCACAAAGCTGAGTTAGGGGCAATGTTATGCTAGCTAAAGAAGCAAAACCTCTTGGAAACTTCTTTCCATTCTCTTAACATACAGAGAGCATGTTGTTCTGGTTGTTTTGATATTATCAAAATACTTTAATAAGCATTCTGAAATATTTTTTAGGTCAGGCATGGCCAACCTGTGGCATACTTGCCATAAGTGGCACGTGTGTGGGTGCCATAAGTGGCATGTGTGTGGCTCTTGGATCATGGAGGGGACAGGCAGCACGGTGGGAGATAGGGCAGAAAGCAAAGTAGCAAAATGGGCATGGAGCACAGGGAAGGAAGGAAAAAGGAAAGCAGTAGATCAGTCAGGGATCACAGGGCTGGGAGCAGAAAGCAGTCAAGGAAAGGGGGCGGGGGAGAACTTCATGGCTGGGCTGGCAGCACCAGGGCCAATGCCCGTACTTGCTAGGGTGAGGCAACTAGGAGACACTGCTTGGGGCAAGAAGGGCTGTGACCAGGCTGCCTGATGTGGTGTGAGAGCTTCAGCCTAGGACAGGAGGGGTGCCACAGGCCTCCCCTCCTCCTCCCTCCAGCCACTGTGCTGTGGCTCAAGCAGGACAGGGACAGCTGGGGGCCCCCTTCGGCAGGGCTGGGAGGTGGGCAGGGGGCTGTGGGTTTAGAGTGATGGGCACCAGCATGGTCCAGGGAGGCAGGGGACTCTGGCTTGGGAGTGAGGACAGCAGCAAGGCCAGGGGGCTCTGGGTGTGGAGTGAGGGGCACTGCCAGGACCAGGGGGCTCTGGGTGTGTAGTGAGGGGCACCAGCAGGCCTAGAAGGCTCTGGGTTGGGACTGGCCATTGATGTTTACAAATGGGTCCTAATACAAAAAAGGTTGAGAACCACCGTTGTAAAGTACTTTAAGATTTGCAGTTGGGGAGTGCTATGGAAGCACTAGGGTATAATTAGTTGTGATGATGCTGAGGGATGTTCTTCTGAACCAGTGTAAGAACAGCAGTTCTTTATCTTAACACATTGATCTAGTGCAGTGGCGTTCAAACTTTTCCCCCTGGAAGACAGATGGACAGTGCCTGGTCTAACCGTGGACCAGATGATGGGCTAGAGCAGGGGCGGGCAATTATTTTGGGCAGAGGACAGCTTACCCAGTTTTGGCAGGCTGTTGAGGGCCACATGGGTAGCCCCACCACCTGACAGGTGCCCCACCCCTTGAAAGGTGCCTTGCCCCCTGGTCACCATCTTGGGACCAACGTCCCAATGTCTTGGGACCAATCTCTCAGGGCCAGCACCGGTGGAGCCCAAAGCGGTGCACAGGCTGGCAGGGGTCTATGGAGCCAGGCTGGGCTGCACCAGCAGGGAGTAGGGAGCTGGCCTGGCTCCACAGAGCCTCTGCCAGCTGGGACCCTGTGCTCCTGCCACCCTGTTCTGGGCCCCACCAGCACTGGCCCTGGGACACTGGTGCAGGTCCTGTGCTCCCACCGACTCACACCCAGTGCCCCCCAGCCCCACGGTACAGGCGGGGGCAGCACTCAGCCCTGACCCCCTGCTCACCAGCAGAGAAGAAGCTGGTGCTGAGCGTGGGGAAAAGTGGCCCCTCACCCGCCCTATGGCCAGTGCTCCCTGCTGCAGGTGCTCACAGCCCACGTGGGGTTGTCTGGAGCAGGCACAGGCAGCCTCATGCAGGCTGCAGGTGGCTGCAGTGCAAGGCGACAGGCGAGGGGCCACTTTTCCCCACGCTCAGCACCAGCTTGTAACCCACCCCACTGTCAGCCTGGCAATGGGGCAGGTTACAACGTGGTGCTGAGTGCGGGGGGGGAGAAAGCAGTCCCTCGTCCCCCCCCCCCATGCCCGGCGCCCTGTGCTGCCGCCGCTCGCAGCCGGCCTGGGGCTACTTGTGCCTGCTCTGGACAGCCCTGCATGGGCTGCGAGGGCCTGCAGCATGGGGTGCTGGCCATGGGGCAGACAAGAGGCCGCTTTTCTCTGCACAGGGAAGGAGCCTGGGGAAAAGCTGAGTGCGGAGGGGAAAGCAGCCCTGCCCCACGCCCGGTGCCCCATGCTGCAGGCGCTTGCAGCCCACATGGGGCTGTCCGGAGCAGGCACAGGCAGTGCCACATGGGCTGCAAGCAGCTGCAGCACGAGGCACTGGGCATGGGCAGGGAGGGACCATTTCTCCTCCCCATGCTCCTTCCTTTTCCAGGGTCCCACCCACTTACCTGAGCTTCCCGCACTGGGGCAGCGATGTGCTTTCAGCCTAGAAACCCCAGTTGGGACTCCCAGCTGGGGGGCGGGACCAGGCAGCCTGGCTGTTATTGGAGCCCACTAGGCTTCCCCTGGGTCCTAATGCCCTTGGTTCCTGTCATTTTTAACAGGAACCAAGGGCAGAGAAATACTAATTTCCTACATTATTTTAGGGGTTCCGCGGGCCAGATAGAATGGCCTTGTGGGCCATATTTTGCCCACCCCTGGACTAGAGCGACAGCCACAGGGAGGATGGGTGGGGGAGCAGCTCAGCCTGAACCCAGCCCCATGGTGGGGAAGGGGCCTTAAACCCCATCCCTGTGGAAGGGGAAGGGGTGTGACCTGTTCCTTTAGGTGGCAGAGGAAGGTGACATGGCCCAGCCTTATGGAGAAGGGGATGTGGCCTGGCCCAAACTCAGCCCTGCAGGGGGAATGGGGTATGGCCTGGTTCCTACTGGGGCTTTGGGTTTGTGAATTTGGCAGGGGGGAGGATGCTCTTATTAATGGCCACTACTCCCCTGTTGCCAGATTTCCAGACCTCTGAGGAGCCCCACAGGCCAGGTATGATGGCTCCATGGGCTGCATTTGGCCTGTGTGCCAGAGTTTGAGTACTCCTGGTTTAGTGCCCAGTATTTTGTCTGGGGCTTAACACATATGTACATGCATACACACATATCTAGCTCTTTTGTTTAAATAACACAATGAAAATGCCACAGAACACCATTTCAAGCACCAACTTGGGGATGACACCTTATTCTATAGTAAGAATAAACTTTCTAGTAGGGGGTAAGAGTGAGTACAGAGGAGGTATTACAGATATCTCTATTCATGTTTTTTAGATTTTTTTTTAAAATGGCATTTTAGGCATAGGCAACTCATAGGAGGGGCATGGCAGGGCATGTGCCCCGCCTGAGATTGGCTGACGCCAGCTTCTGCAGGTAGTCACTGCTTGCCCCTGGCCCCCTCCTCACTGCCACTGCCACTGATGCCTGTGGGCAGTCACTGCTTGCTGCCATCGGCATCTGTAGGCAGTCCCTGCTCGCCATCCCCTCTCCCTTCCCCAGCATCTGCAGGCAGTCCCTGCTTGCCACCAACGCTGCCACCTACAAATGGTGCTCCCAGTCTCAAGAGGCACCAGTCGTTCATGATTTTAGGTTTCTAGGTTCTCTGAACTCTCTGGACTCCTCCACTCATTGCACTATGACCTGTTAGTCCACATGCTGGTTAGCAGCAGTCATTGGGTAACAGGGCTTTGAGCCTAATTTCCTTTGCTTAAACCAAGCTGACAGCCCTCTGAGCTCCCCATTTCAGCTGAACTGCAAGTGAGTGCTGCAAATGGCTGCTGCTTTTCATCTCGTGTCTGAGATTGTTAATAACAGGTATTTAGCAGAATTGGCAGATTTGTTAGATTCTGACAGGGCCACAACATGAGCACATCTGCTATGGTCATTATGGCAATAGAAGCACAGTGTAGATGCAGGGCGGTTGGATTTATGACCTAGGTATTAGAAAGGACCTGTTTGCTCAGAGTCTCCTGCCACAATGTACAGGAGATTAAACTCTTACAATGTTCCTTTGCTGTATGTAAGTGATTTAAGGACACTATCAGTTCAGTATTTTTTAAATAAAAGAAAAAGAGTGGAAAAGCTCAGCTGCTGCAGTAAAGAGCGAAGGGAATAACAGCAGAGGGAGGCTAGGGGAGACATGATAATGGCTTTGGGTTAAGTTTGAGTATAGGGGATTGCATGAGTGCAAAATGAAGGTCAACATTTATCCATTGATTAATATTTTTCTATCTGAAGATTCAAGCTACATAGTGTTTTGTATTGTATTATTTGACTCCTTCCTTGCTTTAAAATATGTTATGTTTAGTGACAGGCCATCCCAGAAACTGTTGATGTCCAGCTTTCCTTCACCAAACCTCCAAATAATGCCCTTTAATTTTGAAACAGTGTAGAAATTTTGGGGGAATGTTAAGAAAAGATAAAAATTCACATTATTAATTTAATTTTTTTTTACCCCAAGATGTAACCAAAATACAAGAGATTAGAACACTGGTTCCTCCAAATATTGAAACATATCTTATCAGAATGACAATTGCACTACTGGAAAAAGGAGATGGAAGTAAGCCGTGGAGTCAGCAGTGTCAGTCAAGCAACAGAAGATTGCTAGATGAATCTGAATGGCCGCAAGCAACTATGGGACCATTCCTGGAGAGCAAGGAAGATGTTTTGTGGATTGAGACAAAGGTTAGTTTAAAAAAAAAAAAGTTTATTAAACAATGTGATTATGCAAAAAGGATTATCTCTTGATAGCAGTTTACCTATATAAGGGGCGGAACTTACTAATTTTCGCTGGTTGATTGCAGTGTACAGTTCTCATTCCATGCTCATTTTGCTGTGCACCTGCTTCTCAGTGCTGATTGGCAAAGAGGGCCCCTTGGCATTGGTTGGCAGAGAGGGCCCAGGGGAAGGAGCTCATGGCTTCCCTTCTGTTTTCAGCACTCTCCCCCAATAGCCATGTGACAGGAGTATCACTATTGGAGCCTTTCCAGGAGTGGCTCCGCCCTCCTGTAATGGGCCAACCGCCTGCTTACTCTCCTGCCACACCTTGATCTTAGTTGATTAGTAGATTGTTGTAATCAGCAGAAGGCTGCCCATTTTTCGCGCGCCAGTGATAGGGGGCGCTGCCTGCGGCTCCTTTTCCTCCCCTACACCGCAGTCCAAGCCTTGCAGATGGTGCTGATGTGGTTTGACCTGGGCTGCATTATGTCTTGGCCCTCCTCTTCACTCCTGGGGCTCCTTGCTGCCCCCTCTTGCTCTGGGGCTGGGGCCAATGCACCCCGCAAATGCTGCGCCTTCTCCAGCGCCAGGAACCCCCACGCTACTGGGGAGTCCCTATGAGGCCTCCTCCAACCCCTAATAGCCTCACCCGGTCCTCCAGTCAAAACAGTGAACATAAAAACACAAAGCCCCTGGGCTACAACATAAAACTAGACTGTCCGGTCAAACCAGATTCACTCCCTACTAGAGAGTGAGGGAGAGAGGGAGGGAGGGCTCCCCAACCCCAGCAGTAACCAGGGGATGTTCACACCACCAGAGTTCTCCCCCCGTCTGTCCTAGCTGAGTTCCTGCTCCCACGGCTGCTGGAGAGGAACTGCTCTCCTGGCCTCCTACCTGGGCTTAAGAAGGGCTAAGCCCTGCCCCTTCCTGTCAGCTGGTTTTACTGGTTGCCTCGGCAACCAGCACCTGCGCAGCCCTGGTGACTGGCAGCTGAGCCTTCCTGCCACTAGGGGACTCTCCCGAGCCTTCTCCGCTTTCAGGCACAGGGCGCCTGAGTGCGCTGCGACAAGCCATTTTCCAGCTTTTTTGTAGAGGGCCTACTAAATTCATGTTTTTGCGAAAATCATGAACATGCAAATTTGGTAGGTCCCTAGCAATGACTAATGCTTTTGTGCCAGAAAGGGTGCTGATATTCATATTTTAACACCTTTGTGATTGGAATAAACGGCCTTTATTTGCTGAAATGTTAATCACATAAAACTCGTATGAAACACTTAGAGATCTAATTAAGTGAAAAGCAATATTGTTCTATTATAATACAGGCTAATTTGGTATGGGAATACATTAAAACAACATTATTTGTTTAGTTAGAATTGTAAATGGTGCAAATGGAAACTGTTTTAAGAAACAATGTTTTATTTTTCTAATACGGAAAGTCTGAAAAGAACAGCAAGACAGATGATATACAGCCAGTTAATACCAAACAGGGTGTGCCAAGCCATCAAAGCTCCCTCAGATTAGCTTCCTAGAATCAACCTTCCCTTCATCTTGATGAAGAAGGACTGTTTGCTGACTCCCAGTCAACGGTAATGCCATACTCCATGAATTCCTATTTTATACAAGACTTTATACTGGCAGATGTTCTTGTCAGGGTATAACTGTACACTCTCCCCGCGTCGGGGCCACTTACCAGTAGCCGAGGGTCTGCTCACCTTTGGTTAGGCGTGTCGCACATGCCTGCCTCGTCTGCCACGACTTTGATGTTAATGGAGTTGGTTCCAGTGTCCGGCGCGTGCCGTCCAATTATGAGACTCTCCGGCGTTCCGCGGGTCCCGCGTCTCTGAGGGCTCCGCCACCCCTACACCCTCGCCCGTTCCACCGGCTGGTGACCGCCTATCTGGGCCGGCCATGTATCCATAGGTCACACAAATAATGCACAAAAGCAATATGACAATCAACACAAGCAGCCAAAGGGGCTCCTTTGGACGGAGCAGCTGGATCAGCCTTCTGCAGTCATCCTCCAAGGCCCACTTGTCCTCTGTGGGGTCGAACCCCCTTTTTGGTTCTCGAAGAGTCCCTCCTGGGGCTTGGGTAATTCCTCTTTTACAGTTAAAGCTCACTGTTGCTACTGCGCCCACATCACAGGAACTACGGTATCCACAGTCAATTAGTGCCCTTCTATTAGGGTCTTTACAGTACCCTGCTCCTGCCGGGTTTCACCCGCTACCAGCCGGTAAACAAAACAGTCCTATGCCCCACAAGGGCCTGGAGACTAGGCTCACAAACCCTGCTGGGGCTTACCCCTTCTCCAGAGGTTTCTACTGGCACTCAGCGCTGCTCGCATCCTCTGCAATGTCAGCTGGCCTGCTCCATCACCTCCACGTCCTCCCTCCGGTTCCGGGTTGCTCTCACTTGTTGGCCCCAGCCTCTCTTTTATACCGGCAACAGAAGTACTGGCCCCTCCCTTTCCCCCACACCTGGGTAAGGGGAATTTCTGCCTGTCTCCCTGTGGTTGCGGGCGTGGGGCCACGGGCCCTCCACTCAGGCTGGGAGCCAAGGAGCCTGCTGGCCTTTTCTCTCCCTCACAGTTCTTACCAGTATAAATATTCCCCTTTGAGGATAACAAGTTAACAATGCAAATTGTAAAATACCACTCGATATACTTACTACCTTCTTGCTATTAAAGTATAACTAAATGCCCTAAAATTTAGTTTCCAGATTTATTAAAGTACCCTATTTTCTTTAACAGCAGAATATGCTGAGAGTAACTGACATTTCTTATTGATGTTATTTAGGTGCCATTGTACTGGCTGCTCAGCAGTTTGTATAATAAACAAAAGTTCTGCCCCAAAGACCTTAAAATTGAGAAACACTTGCCTGGTATTATCATCTACTGATCATTTTTCAATTAATGTGGAAGACTTCAGTGAAGGTGTCCAGTCACTTTTTTATGTAGCTAGTCCCCCAGTCTGAGGGTCACTTATGTTAGGATGACCATATAGAACCATGGGAAATCCAGGACACTGCTCTCTGCCCTTCTCCCCCCCCACAACCTTGGCAGCACCTGACCTTTTTCGGCCTTTGGTTTAAACTCAGAAGAGCAACAAAGTGGGGCTTGGTGGCCCACAGAGAACAAGAGCACCCCCTCCCCTCCCTGTGTGATCCTGCTAGCCAAAGGAACCCAAGTGATGGCACCTGGGTTCTATGCCCATCCCAACCACACAGTTGCCTGGTGGGAAGGGAGGCAACCAGGACGGACTGGCTAGGGCAGTAGTCCTAAGGCAGAGCCCAGAGCTGAACCCCAAACATGGGTCTCTGGGAGCTGGGTGGGTTGGGAGGGGAGGGGAGGGCAGGGGGAACACTACACTCAGGGCTGGGGTCTGAGTCATCCCCCCCCCTAAACTCCCCATTCCTCAGGAAGTCCTTTCCTCACTTGGGCTCTTTGTGGCAGCCCTGGCCCCTAGTCCATTGGGCTGAGAACTTCTCACACATAGTAGAGTCAGTCAGGGATGGGCAACGTGGGCAACCACCCAGGGCACCATGGCACTTCGTGTGTGTGTGTGTGTGTGTGTGTGTGTGTGTGTGTGTGTGTGTGTGTGTGTGTGTGTGCATAAACACACACACACACACACACACACACACACAAGTGTGAGCAGCCTGCTCTCAGGAGGAGCTGGGTGGGCACATGTGGGTGGGTAGGGTGATGCGGTGCGAATCCAGGACTTTTGCTTAAATTTTCACTGTTGGCCCCTGTAGAAGTTTAAATGTAAATGTTGAAGTGTTCCTGCACTGTGGCATATTGAATCTGTGGTCATCAGAACGTCTCAGTTTTGTTTTATTTTTCACTATAGGATCATTTCACTTTTGGTTATATCTGCACAGGGGACAGGGTTCCCAACTCAAGAAAATAATTTTTACTGAAGGTCTGCAAATTTTTTACTGACATGTTTTAAATAACCTAAATGTAACCCTTCTGGCAGGCCGTGCATGGCTTTAACAAAGACAGGGTTCAAAGGCAGTATGCATCTTTGTAATGCCCTTTGCTTAACTACAAAAACCCTTTCTACAATGGTAGTTCATTGCTTTCCTCACAAAAACTGTTCAGGAATAATTCTTTTCCACAGTATATCTCACAGGCCCTTTAGTGGCAGATGCTTCCAAATTTTTCTGGGGAATTTAGTTTTCTCAACCCTTTCCTACAGTGGTTCCTGTGTAGCTGTGACAAGGCAAAGATGGGAATCCCATACATGAGTTTGAGGGTCATGATTTCATTAGGGATTCTTCCACCAGGGTAAATCTGAGATATAGATGTTTCACATTTGTATAAAACAAACTTTTTCTGGTGTGATTAATTGAAATTTGAAAGCATCACTGGCAGCCATCGGTCTTGGGAGACCATGGAGATTGTGCCTTTGGTGGGTTACTGGGTACCACCACAGCTTCTTGAGTGGCAGAGGAGTCCAACGCACAGCAAGGAGACCCTCTGGCAAGTTGCACATACAAACTCGGTTGAGCATACAATGGTATGCTGAGTACCATTTTGTCTTGCCTGCCTTTGAGGCCTCTTCTCTAGCTCGTCATTGATCCTATCTATCTCAAAGCAACATAGGCCCTGTTTCATGGTGGCTTTCCACTCGCAGCAGTCTGAAGCAGTTGATTCCCAGTGTTGGCTATTGATGTGCAGCTCAAAAAGATTTTTCTTGCAGACATTAACAAAATGGAGTTTCGGCCATCCAAGTTGACATTTGCCAGTGGCCAACTCACCATAGAGTATGTCCTTGGGGATTCAGCCATCACTTATATGATTCACATGTCCTAACCAACAGAGGTGTCTCTGTCTCAGGAACATGAACATACTGGGTATCTTGGTCCATTCTAGAACAGCAAAGTTGAGATTTTGTCATACTATGTTATGCACAGGATACTGCAGAGACATCAAAGATGGAAACTGTTCAATATTCTTTCTTCCTTAGCAGAAGGAGTCCATGTTTTGCTGCCGTACAACAGAGAGCTAAGTATGCAAGTGCTGTAGATGGACGTTGTCAACAGAGCGAGTGCTCTATTTTTACAAACTCTCTTTTGAAGTTTAACCATGGCATTGCTTGCCTTTCCACTGCAAGCATTAATTTCAGCTTCCAAGCCAAGATTTTGCAAGATGGTGGAGCCTAAGTATGTGAAATTTTCAACCGCTTCCAGGCTTTTATCATTTATTCTAACTTCAGGAAGGCAGTCGACTTGTTGACCCATGACTACTGTCTTCTTTAAGCTAATGGTCAGACCGAAATAGTCACAAGCACGAGAAAGGTGATCCATGAGACTTTGCAGTCTTGCTTCTGAATGGCTAACAATTGCTGCATCATTGGCAAAGAGCATTTCACAGACAAGAACTTCTCAGGTTTTCATTTTCGCTTGGAGACAACCAAGGTTAAAGGTTTTCCCATCAGACCTGGTCAGAAGGTATATTCCTCCTGAAGATCCACTGAATGCATCTTTGAGTAGCACAGTGACGAAAATCCCAAAAAGCATTGGAGCTAGGCAGAGATGACCCGACCAGGGTGGGGGCCTGGGGCAAATCAGCCTGTGTGGGGCCACGCCCCCGCACACCCTGGACATGAAGAAGCTGGCAGCGGATTCAGCGGTGGGGTGGGGGTGTGCCAAGTGGCTGGATGCGAAGCTGGTGGAGGCGCTGAGTCACCGCAGCCACTCCAGCCAGCTCCGCAGGGCCGCCCAAAGCCCCCACCCAGGATGGCCCTGGAGCTAGGACACAGCCCTGTTTGACACTAATCTCAATTTCAAAATTCTTCCAAATGTGACCCATCAAACTGCGCTGTTCCACACATACTGACATGGAAGGACTTGATGATGCTCAGGAGCTTAGGAGGGCAGCCAGTCTTCAGGATTCAGAGCAAACTGACAAGATCAAAAGCTTTGGTATATCAACAAATGCTATGTATGGAGATTTCCTTTGTTCATGGCACTTTTCTTGTAGCTGTCTTGAGGAGAATTTCATATCCATCGTGGATCTACTGGATTTGAAACCACATTGAGACTCAGGGTAGACTGTCTGCAAGGTTCTGCAGTCTTAGTAGGATGACTTTGGTGAACAGCTTCCCAATGATGCTAAATAAGGATATACCATGATAGTTGTTGCAGTCACTCATATCACCTTTATTTTTTTACAGAGTGACTACGTTTGCATCCTTCATGTCTTGAGGAACTTCATCTTCTCTCCAATGCTTACATATTAATTCATGCAGAGAGAGGAGGAGAACATATTTCCTGCACTTAACTTCAGCCAGTATGCAGTCTGCACCTGGGACTTTTACCACAAGCTAGCTGATCAGTGGCTTTTTTCTACTCCGTCTTTTTTCATAGTTAAGAGCTGTCAAGGTTGAGAGGTCTTCAAGTGCATCAAGAGCAGGCACAGGCCATATTTTCATGAGTAGAGTTCTGAATAATGCTCAACCCATTGATCCATCTGCTTATTGCAGTCATTCATGACTTCACCTGTGGAGGATTTTAAAGGGGAGGTCTTCCTTGGAACAGGCCCAAGAGCTTTCGTGATGCCCCCATACATTGCTTGCCT